ATCGAACATAAGAAAAAAATAAATATTTAATTCCTTAGCAGTTTTAATGTTAAAATACTATTTCAACACATTTGTAAATTTCGTTAAATTTAAAAATTCTTTTTTTAATTTTCAAATTTCCCACCAAACCCCCCTTTACCGGATCCTTCATCCCACGTCTGAATTACACCACAAATTGTAGTACTCATATTAATTAAAATTAAAAAAAGTAACGATGCTATGACACGTTGTCCTTGAACATTACAAGAATACCCACTGTAGTAGGTTGCTTTATTTGCAAAACACAACAATTAATGTAAAAATAACGTAAAATTCAACACAGCACCAACACCACTAGTGCGTATTGTGGACAACAACACCACGGCAACCACACGCATACGCACTCACACAGATACACCCAAACAATTAAAATCTTATTCTGTTTGCCAAAATACTTGAGATCTACGAGTAATGTGCAATAGCCACATAAGTGTAAGTGCCAACCAGTTTATATAACGCACACACACACACACATGTTCACAGCTACACTCATAAAGACACTCGTGTGCATATCCTGTGTATATTATATTACAGTGCGTGTGTGTTTGTTCTGGTGTGAGTGAGCGGGAGAGAGAGAGAGCAAGTGTTTGGATGAACACATAAGTATCTTTTGTTAAACAAAAGTATTTTCATTTACAAGGCAACATAACTGTTGTGAGTGAAAATGTATGTATGTGTACATAAATGTGACACAGTGGGGTAATGCAATACAATTTGCAATAATGAGATAAACCCATTTTTTAAACGGGTGGTGACTGGAGATGAGAAATGGATCACATACGATAACCCTGTGCGAAAACCATCGTGACCAATGAACGGTAAATAACCTCAAACGGTTGCCAAACCAGGCTGGGAGGTTCTGTTATGCATTTGGTGCGACTGGAAGGGGATTATTTATTATAAGTTGCTTCCATATGACCAAACCCTAAATTCTGATCTCTACTGTCAACAACTAGACTGATTGAGCATAGCAATTGAACAGAAAAGGCCAGAATTGGCCAACAGGAGAGGTGTCGTGTTCCACCAGGACAACGCTAGGCCACACACATCTACAGTGACTTGCCAGAAACTTCGGGAGCTTGGTTGGGAAGGTGTAATGCATCCGCCATACAGTCCGGACTTGCCACCACGCGACTATCATATTTTTCGTGCATTGTAAAATTTGTTTAATGATAAAAAAATTGGGATCTAGGAAGGATTGTGAAAATCGACTACCATTTTTTTATTTTTGCAAATAGAGATCAGGAGATGAGAAATGCATTATGAAGTTACCTTTAAAATGGCAACAAATCATACAAAAAATGGTGCATATTTGGCCCAAATCAGACATTCCGAAGCAAGTTAAATAAAGACCTATAATTCATATAAAAATAATGTATTTCTTTTTCTCCAACCTAATATTTACAATATATGTCAAATCTAAATAATATCAGATTTATGGTTCCTTGTAGGAAGTATACACATTACCATGTGCCCAAATTTCTAAATGGAAGTCAAATAAAATTTGTCTTCTTGTTGACCACTGTTTTGTTGTTTGGTACATAAATATGTATTGTGCTTGTTTGCCAAAAACACACATACATATACAGTCACATTTAATAACTTTAAGTAAATTCTCAAAACAAACAACAAGGACATTAACAAAAAGCAAAACACAAAAAATACAAAAACAATTCCGCTGTTACTAAAGTGACATTTGGTAAGGACACTACCATTGACGACGAGCATCCGACAATAAGGGTCAAACGAATGAAACTGTTTGGATTCTTCCAACAGCAGCAGCAACGAGGATGATAGCAAATTTATCAGCTTTAATGTGCTGGTGTACAACACGAGGAATTGAATACATTGCAACAACAGTTACCAGTGCTGGTAGTAGACTATTTTGTTTCCTTGCTGTCCGAATGTCCTTGGTGAGATGAGTGTGTGGGAAAATTTCAAGAGAATCAGCGTATGTTCAAAAAATATAAAAAATAAATCATATTGGAACCGTTGAAGGAAATATGTACAAGTGAACACTAGAGCATTTTTAAAAGGGAAAGTGTATTAAAAATATGTACATATATTTGCTTGAACACATACACACTTTAAACATAATAGCCATATGACTACGACTATTATAATTAATGTTCATTCCAACGATGTTCCACTGTCTATTTGCCTTTTGGTGTGAAAGTTTACTTTTCTTTTTTTACTTGAATCGAATAAAACTTATTTAACACTTTAGCCAATAAATGTATACATGACAACAATAAACCACCCACCCTCACACACTCACTCACTTATCCGGCCAATAGTCAATAAATATTATTCACAAAATTAATGTACAAAAATGCAACACCACACCATGTGAACCTCAGCATAACTACAAATGTGATTTCGAATGCAATAAATTGATAATTGTTAAATAGTTATGGTCAGAGTACTTTTGTCGGCTCGAGAAAATATTTTTTTCATGCCAAATGGAATTGTTTTTGTTGCTGTCGCTGTTATAAAGTGTTTTTCCGTTTGAGTTTTTTAGGGGTCGGTTGTTCACAAACGCCTTTTTATTTCGTGGTTCATTTAACTGATCCATCCGTAGTGAAGAGGAAAAACTTAATTGGTTTAATAAATAATTTCAGTTGTGGAAACATAAAAAATAAAACGTTTTATTGTTAATATGTCATTGTAGGCAAAATCGGCAAAAATAACATACAAAAACATGCGGATATATAGTGGATGCAAAATGTAAACATAGATCATGTTGACGGCTCAAGTTCCTGTCAAAATAATCTCTGGTCACCATAACCAAGAAAATTAGAAATTGCAACCGGGATTTCCAAGATACATTCTGAAAATCCATTTTGGAAATACAATTTAAAGATTCAAACTTACTATTCCCAATGTCATATATTCAAATTTTTGTAAAAGCTCCTGCTTTTGGTATTTTGACATTTTTTGCCCCAATTTTAGGTATTTTGATCCTAGGCTCATTTTTTGACTGAAGGCGAATTTTTCAATAAAATGGATGCTCCAAATACGCCATGTTTTTACAAAACCTCACTAGAAAGGGTGCGCCATCAGTTGGGTCGCCTTTTGATCTGAGACATTATCATTCATTTCCACAACATGGCTTAGCCAGCGCAGTCGCTGCAGCTCGATACGTCTGACTATGTGGATGTCTGAGAATAGATGGTATAGTACATGGTTCATTCGACCGTCGATCGGCCCAAAGATCTTCCGGACAATTTTCTCTCAAACACTGCCAAAAGCTGCCTCATCTGCTTGCGTAAGTAACTTATTTAACTGCTGACCCTGTGCCATTAAAAGTGATCCTGCATTGCCGTATTGATTTTGCAGGAATGCCAAACACAGACATGCCTTATCTACATCTGAGCGGATTGAGCTGTCGAATACGGCTTTGTAGTCGACGTATAGGTGGAATGTGTCGCTGTGTTCTTCGTGGGTCTTTTCCAGGATATGGCGCAAAGTGAAAATATGGTCTATAGTTGATTTAACTGGTCTGACTTCAGTCCTTCACACAGCATGCTGGATAGCACTTTATATGCGATGAGAAGGGCACTAATTCCTCTATAGTTGGCATATATCGTAAATCATTGAGCATGCATTCCTCTAGCAAAATTTAACTATTCAGCTGGCGCATGCTCCTGACCATCATTTGAAAACTATACTTGAATAGTTCAGCTAGTGGCCCATCGGCACCTGCTGCTTTATTATTCTGCAACCTATTGATTGCTATTCAGGCGTCATCTTGGCTAGGTGGCAATCACTCTTATTGGTTCTGGGGTATTTTCTTCATCATTTCTATATGATACCATAAGCTTTTCATGATGCTGCTTCCAGATCCTCAAAACGCTGCCTGCATCTGGCACCAGATTTTCTTCTTAATCTTGGTTTTTCACACGTTGGTAAATTCCCACTTCACGTTTTTCTTGTTATTTCTTCTTTTTGCTGAAAATACGTTTCTCCTCTCTTCTTTTCTCCCGATAATCCTCTCTCGAATTGCGTGTTGCTACTATCTGCTGGGTTGCTTCTGTTGTGTTTTCAGCTTTTTGACGTCCAGTTTCCGTGTTGTGTTAGATTGCACTATTGCTGCTATTTTGAGAGGAGGGCGAACTTGTCTGCTACGAGGTAATGAATCGATATTCGCTCCTCAGATCGATCGAACGTCTAAAACACTGGATGAATGCTTTTCGTATATCACAACATGATCAATTTGAATTCTTAAAGATCTATATACAATTATATTGGGTAAAGCTGAAGTCTAAAAGTCTAAAGATCCCCTGATTTGTTCTCATTAGTAATTTTGCCGGTACTGTGCTGACAAATTGTTTTTATTCTATTATATTCCGTCTTCTGTGTACATGTGCTATCCATACATGATCTGATTTTCTTCAAAAATTTAAATCAGAAATGTTAAACCCTGTATCCACTGTAGAATCATACTATTCGGCTAAAACCTTAAAAAAATTCTAAATATATACCACCATCTGCAATTGAAAAATACAGTTAGCTCCTTAAAATTACTTGAAATGGATTAGTATATTAAGAATTTTTGAGAGCTTTCACAGAACTGCGAACATTACAGTCGAACTCATTTTTAATAACACCATTTAATACCACATATCGGTTAAAATGACCTATCCCAACGCCCGAGGAACGTTCTCCATGTTTGTTGATATAACGACATATCGCTTATAGCGACCTTTTTATGGTACTCCGGAGAATATTGTCTTTAAAAATCTAAATATTTGCACATACTTTTGTAATGTCCCGTAATATTATTTTATAGTACAGAAACAGGAACAAAACAAATCCGATATAACATTTCTAAAACTACATCTACCATACAGCTACGTATCCAAAATACATTCAAAAGTCTACAATCGAAATGTATATTTTAAATTTCATGTTTTTTCTACAAATCACAAAATAATATAAATAAAATAGATTTACCATGCTCATATTTTTATTGGACACTTGTACATAATATTGATTTTCTTCACATCCTTTTCACTCAAACTGACTCGTTGACCAATCTTCGCTTTGGGATCCAACGGAACAATTGTATCTTCACCATTTTGTGAAAAGGCACCAGGACGATAATGCAGACAACTGTCATAGTCATAGCCAACATCAAAATCCGTTACCAACGAACTGCTATATTTATCGAAATTAAATTCTTTTCCCGGTACAATATTTTCATAGACTACACGAATATAATCGTCGCGCTGCGAATCACTTTGTTGATGATAGAAACCCAAGGCATGCATAAATTCGTGTAATATTGTTCCGGTGCGGAAACACCCCTCGCCCAGTGGAAAGATTTGTAAATTCATTTGTTGAACTTTCCGTTGGTAACCGACAGCTGTGAAGCAACCACCAGATTGTGATGTTATGGCCACGTAATGTTTCTGGGAGCTATCGGCTTCACGAAAACGTATGCAGGTGCGGGATTCCAGTGTGGAAATACCATCTAAAATTGCATTGCGATGAGCCAAATCTGAAAGAGATAAAAATAGTACAACAATTAGTGAAAAATATTTTTTTCAGAAAATTTCAAATAAATAAATAATTCAAAACTTCGGAGACAATGAATCAGAGTAGATCAGTCTTGCTGTAAATTTTTGGAAATTATTTTTATTTGATAAGATACTGTGGATAGTTAAAATATATTATATATGTATATGATTCTTTAAATATGTGACCAATGTCAGCAAAGACCTATAGGTTCTATGTACCTATATCGTCAGGTAGATAGAACCTATTTTCAGTTTAAATAAAATGTTGTGCAAAATTTGGGCAAAATCGGATTTTTCTTTGTAGGAAACTTATATTTGTATCAAAATAGTTACCCTATATGGGGGATACTAAAATATGTAAGTGAAACGATATGAACCATATTAAGATTATATCTATGAAGAAGTTATGAAAAGTTCGTATTTGATTTGTTGTGATAATTAAATAGCTTCCATAGCTACGCCACTGTTTACAGCGTAATAGATTTCCGGGAGTGCATTTATGGAATATCAATCTTGAAATTGATAACATTTTATGGCATAATAAACATGCAGTGACCGATATACGTACTTAAAATATCGAATGCAAGTGAGGGAAAAATCAGAGGATTCAAACTTCGAACATTTTTTATTTCAGATGTGGAGGAACATGGAAATTACAAGTTATTAACCTACACCTGTCAATCAATTTGTGAGCAAAGCCTTAACATTTGACGAGCATGACACAGATTATCTGAGAAAGATATGTGACAGTCCTCATTCCGACAGTTGAGCTTTGGTTTCCACGATAGGGTCATTATAGATGATTCATCACCGACAATGATTTACGCCATAATTCGTCACAATAATGGACAACAAATAAAGACGGACATGGCAGCTTAGGTGATGGATATGATGATCAATATGTGTCGGAACTATGTCCATATATTGATGTCCATTTATTATTTCTTAAATAAATTAAAATACATGTAATACCCTTCACCGTGAGGTGGATATTCAAAATACTATACATTAGTGGGGGTCTTTATATGGGGCCTATTTAAAAAATTCAGCCAGAAGGTTGTTTTATTCTCGTACAAAATAAAGTGTCAAATTATCAGCTGAAAAATTACAGTTTGGAAAAATCGTTTTTGACCGGACCTTTATAGGGGGACTATAGTGAACATTTTCTGGGGAAAGGGAGTTTGTCCCCTAATTTCAAAAATGCCCCTTAAAATGGTGTAAGAACTTTATATAGAGTCTATTTCCAATCATGTACGGAACGTTTCCTTTATCGATCCATCTAAAATAATGGAAAATTTAATGATTGGGTTTTCGGATGGAAAATCAGTGAAATATCTTTGAAATAAAAAAAGGAAACATGTTATATGGGATCTCAAGCAAAACGTGGTCTGATATATCCCACTTTTTAATCATGTGATTTCACAGTCCTAATGTGATTTCAACCGACAGACTTACATGGCTAAATCAACATACAATGTCGGGAATACATACATATTCATTACAGCTCTCCAATGATTATTTCAAGGAAGCGAAATGAAAAATGGAATATTGTGGAGTGCATGAAAAGTAAAGGTAGTATGACTTGTTCGTCACCGTTTGAATGTAACTTTTCCATTCAATATTTTCATTGGTTTTGTTATATGAAATATGCCAGACCAGCATAAATTAAAAAATCATTTTGAGGAACTTCTGCAGCTTGTCAATATGTAAAAGATAATCATCTGAATTTTTACACAGCATGAAGTCTGAAATAAGCAACAATTCTGCTTCATTAACTCAAAAAACATGATTACTGATTCATGCCGGTTCTTGAGCAATATATAATTCCCTCATGTGCACTGATAATTGAAAATATTTCCTAAAGAGCTCGTGTCACTTGCAGCGAATAAAATTATTCCGACGAGTTTCCTCTTAAAACTTGCTCGATCATAAAATGTACATTAAATTTGTGGTGTTACTTAAAATTCACAAATATACCCAAGATTACACATACGTATTAGGCGTATCCTTACTTAATTTGTTTTCCGTTTTTAGAAAACTCACCAAAATCTCCAACAATTTTATAATAAACAATTGCATCGGGCCAGCGTTTATTTTCATCGATTAGTCCATTGCGACCTTGCACTTTTGAAGAGCCCTTAATTAATCGCAATTGTGTATCACTTAGCACCATATCACCCTCAACAAAACCAGCCGATTCTTCAGGATCTAATGTTGTGGCAGGTAAAGGATTACCCTGAACCACTTCAAACTCAAAAACGACAATTAAGAAAATCAAAAACGACACAAGTCGTACGCCGTGTGACATCTTTATCGTTTGTAATTTTAGACAAGACTAACTACTAACAATTTCCAATGAAATTCGAAACAAAATAGATATTAAAAAAACAAAAAATATAATGCCAATTATTCTCGACAAGCGTGGGGAGTTCGATGATTTTACTTGGCTATACAATAATATATATATTGAAGAGATAAGATAACTTTGACTATGGCAAAGACAGTGGCGAAGTTTATTTTATTTTTTACACTTTATAATCCAAAGGGGAAAAATTACAAATGGTGTTTTGAAAAAGCCACGAATATTCGAATGTCTTAACATTTATATAAAAATATAAACAAATAATTGATATTTATTACTCATTGATTTCGTGTGCATTTGTTTGTTTTTTATCTAGATTATAGTGAGAAAAAAATGTTGGAATTTTTTATTTCTATTTTAGTGTTTCCATAGTTAGAATGTGTGACTAATATTGGAATGTCTAAATTTCAAGTGTTTTCATTATTATTATTATCATAGTTGTTAATGGTTATTGGCATCTCTTCGCCCCTCTCTAATTCTTTTATAACAGAGTGTAAAATGACGTAAATTAAATATTTGTTATCCCCCTTTTAAACTGGGACAATACAGTAGGATCCTTATAAATGACAACATGAATTGTACAGTGTACAACAGACTGCTTGATATATTTTAATTGAAATTAGACCAACGTCGTAGGAGTTGTTTTAGTTACCTGTAGTGCTATTCTGCAACTTCAAAAAAGTTACACTTTTGAGATGGAAACTTGACAAAAAATTAATAAGCTATATTTAATTCAGATAGAGCCCTTTTATTAGAAAATCTCTTCAAATCTATCTAAATGAAAAGCCAAGTTCGATCACTATGGATCAAATAAGTACTGAACAACTAATTTTCACTATCCGAATTCATTGTGGGTTAAATTAGCACTGGAGAAATAATTATCAGATCTATTGCATCAAACGACCGAATTAAATTTAGAATGACGTATCCAAGATTAATTTACTTCGGGTCATAATTACATATATCTCCATTTAATTTAAAATGAATTGGAATTTAAAAAAAAATTTCACATACAGCCACACTTCTTGATTAAAAGATTATCTATCGAAAAGTAGGGTACATGCATATATACATACATACAAGACTGTCTGTTTTAGAAATTTCGATAGAGATTGCAGTATTTATGACACACCTTTAGACTTTTGCTCATTACTAACTTACTTTACTGGCTTGTGACTTTCGTTCCGTAAGCCGTAAATATTTCCAGGCTCGTCGGTATTTTGCGCAGTTTTTCCAATTTTAATAACCATGTTCGGCAATGTTGTCTTCCACTTGATCTTTCCATCTAATTCGTGGCCGTCAACGCAGAATTTTTCTCTCAAACACTCCAAGAACTGTTAAAAAGGTCACACGAAAGGATGTGACCTCGCTTGGTATTAAAGGGCTCCGAAAGGTCATTTCCGACTTTAACTGCAGACCTTGTGCCACTTAAAGTTATCCTGCATAGCCGTATTAATTTTGCAGGATTGCCAAAGACAGACATGGCTTTAAACACCTCTGAACGGATAGAGCCGTCGAATGCGGCTTTATAGTCGACGTATAGGTGGAATGTGTCGATGTGTTGTTCGTGGGTCTTTTCCAGGATTTGGCGCAAAGTGAAAATCTGTTCAATGGTGGATTTACCAGGTCTGAAGCCGCATAGGTATGGCCCAACAATGTCATTGACTTCAGCCGTTTACACAGCATGCTGAATATCACTTTATATGCGATGGGAAGGAGACTTATTCCTCTATAGTTGACACTTATCGTATTGCCTCCTTTTTTGTGCAAGGGACAAAAATGCTGAGGTTTCCTCTAGCGGTATTATACTAATCAACTGCTGCATGCTCCAGACCAGCATCTGACCACCAGACTTGAATAGTTCGGCTGGTAACCCATCGGCTCCTGCTGCTTTATTATTCTTCAGCCGATTCATGGCTATTAAGACCTCGTCTTGGTGTATACACTCTATACCGTCATTTGTTATTTGTTCCTCTTTACAACTACAGTAACTTTTGCTCATACATTTTTAATATTCCTGTCCTGTTTAGTATTAAAAATGAAGTTGATGGGTCTTTCTTCTGTGATAGTCCCCATATAATCACTTTGTAACAATTGTGACATTTTAGAGATTTAAACCGCCATTGTCAACGGAGGAGACTGGTTCTTGGAAGTTTGTAGAATTTTTTCCATATAATTCCATGTTCTGAATTAGCCTCTATTCATACTTTATCGCTAAATCTAGTCAATTTGAGGATACATATCATAAAATACCTCTCTACAGAAAATAGAAATATCCGCTTCCTACTTCAGATATTTTAATGGTTCTAAGCGTTTCTTTCAACATTAGTGGTGGGCATTTGATAGTATGTGATTTTGGTGGTTAAAAAAACTTCTTCGCAAAAATGCTTTTATAAAAGATCATATTTTGGCATGACCGCTATATAAGTCTAATTCCTGTCTCCATTTTAGTGTTTATAGCTCCAGTCTTATTTTCCATGCGATATTGGATATTGGGAAATTAGTGTATACTTATGAAATGGAATTATTTTATATACTAATTAATTTTCCCAAAATACGGTTTACTTTCATATGGAAAAATTACCATACGAGGCAGATATTTATTAACATTGAATTAATATTCTATCATAACATTTACTTTGAGTTATATTATTCTAATTCCGTTTATTCTAAAATTGCAAAATATGGGATTTTACAATGTAAATATTTGCAACTTAATAATTATTTCATCACTTCCTCTTACGAACAATTACCCATATATAAACAATATTAAGCAAAATTATCACATTTCCCATGCATTACAAATGCAATTGATAATTTATAGACAATTCCAGACTAATATTTATTAACCACAAGTAAACATTGATACCTTTATGAGAATTACAATACAATATTTGAAGCTAAACCATTTTTCTTATCGATATCAACTTAAATCGTCATTTACACCAATTGTCCCATATTTACAATTGTATTTAGACAGTGGTGTTGCGATAAGACTAACACGACACGACAACAAATACAATGTACAAACAACACACTCTCGCTCGCACACACACACACATCACACAGGTAAACAATTGTACATCAGTCAACTCTTTATTATTAATTACCTTTGTTGATTCTCAATGGCTGGCGTTTATCTATCGTCGTCGTTTTGGTCGGAAGTCATTAATAACGACGTTAGCACACTTCAATAAACCGAATGTGAGAAAATGCCATCATCGAAGATCAAGCAAAAAGGGTCATTGAAATTAATTAAATTATATGAAACAATACAAAGAAACGAAATTATTTGGGCCGATAGATAACTACTACCGGTCTATTGAAATTGTGTTTGGTGAAATGATGTGTACACAAACATGTTTGTATAAATGAATCAATGCCATAGATAAACATTGTATAGTTTAAGTTATTTCAGATAAATATTTAATTTGTTTCATGGGAGAAGACTATAATTTTAGATTTAGTCACAGATCTTCATCAGTTCTTGAGTAATTTATATAACAACACATTAACAAAAGTATCATGGTGATACCCAACATCTGGAAGCACTAGTAAATAATGTGATCATCATATTTATTTACTAATAGTATCTATAAGCTTTTGATTGACTAAAATTTAATTAAAGTACATTCCGAAGATTCTATGATTTGAATTATTTTTAATGCAATGGAAATGGTGTATATTTCTGTATCTTATTTTAAAGACAAAAGCATATCCTCAGGCGCCCGTAATACATATTTTCGCTTTTCTCCTTAGACAAAATAATCATGCAAATAACGTCATTATAAGTAGCTAAGGCTGTCTAAAAAAAAATTGATAATAATAACAAGATTACACGCTCATTATGTTATCAATAAAGAAAGAATCAAAGTCAGAACTGGACTATATGATACCCTACATTACTTTGTGTATATGAAAACAATGGAGTATATAAGAAAGGTATATAATTTTGACCCAATTCGAATAAAACGTGAATATTTCCTATATTGAAATTATCCAAACCGATTTGAGTAAACTTTACGAGTTATAGTGATGGGCATTCTTTAATCTTAAATTTTAAGACATACAACATTCCATAATTGTTTTGTTGTTGTCTTATTGCTGGGTTTTGCTTAAAGATATATACCTTGGCTGGATTAATTCTAGCCCATACAACTACTTTTATTAATTTATTGTTTTATACCCTCTAACATGTCGAAATCTTGGGCGGAGACCCCAAGTGTCTTAATTGGTCTTAACTTAACCTTCCGAATTTCTTGATTCCCTATACTTCCACACCAAACCAAATTGTAAAATATTTCGTACCATTTAATACTCTTTTTTCCCATTAGTATTTTTTAACTACCTCAATCCTATACTCCAGCTCTATCCCTTCACATATAATCAAGTTGCAGCAATATCATACCATTTAGTACACACACGTACTATACTTCCATATCCCAATTCTACACTCCAACCGCAACCATTATTTCATATTCCCAAAGCTGTCTCTATTGCTAAATCTTCAACAATAATTCTAATCCCAAATTTAACTTTTTAAGCTCTGTTCACCCAAAGTTCACCGAAATTCTAATTGTTCTAAATATAGTAAATTTTATACCTAAAAGTATGAATATACTAAACGGCCTTAATCATACACCCCAACAGTCATTCTAATCCTTCATTCTAATCCCCAATTTCAAGACTCCAGCACTCTCTCTCTGTTCACCTAAATCCAACCTGTACCAAATTTAGTACTTTTGGCACACATAAGTGAGGTTTTTTTAAAGTTACCTCATAATTCCTATTTTCAGTATTCCATCTCTATATGAAATTTAGTACTTTAGCAAATTCATACTCATAAGTACGAATTTCTAAAAACCATTTCCATACACCCCTTCCCAACCTGTATTCCATATAAAATTTATTATTTTATATACAATTTGAAGTAAATTTAGTAAATTTTGTGCACTTCGTATACTTATAGGACGAATTTCGAAAAACTCTTTTGTACATCTTTCTAACCCACATTCCAAATTTCAGAATTCTAGCTCTTCCCGTTCGCCTAATACAAAGGGTACCATATTAGGTACATTTTAGTACTTTTCGTACCCTTCTAGTTCGAATTTCCAAAAACCCAGCCTTATCTTCTCCAACAAAAATCCAAACTCAAAATATAAAGCTTTTAGCTTAAGCCGTTTCATCTAGGCGATGATCTGTCAGTCACTCACTCACCCACATTTTAGGGTATTCAAAATTCGATGTAATCGATTAGGAATAGGAATACATCAATTGTTTACCCACGATAATATTTTCGGCAAAGTCCAGCGGGACAGATCACTATTTCAATATTACGTACGAATATTTCCTATTGATTTCGATCAGAGAAAAGATATAGAAATACACACTTAGAAAACAAGTAGCACAACATACCGAGGTACAAAAACACATTTATTTATCTTGTCAAATTGACAGGCTTAAGAAGTGCCCTGCCTATTCAAAACAATAAAATCGAACATAATTATATAAAGTGGTTATTATACGTCAATAACTATCGAAATTAACTGAATTTTGGCAGATGGAAAATAATAAATTAAAATGTATTCTCGAGTTACTTGTTCATAGTAGAGGTTACCGTTGTGAAACGAAGCGGATATGAATTTGTTAGGAAGTGTGATCATTTGTACCGTCCTATGGGGTTTTGTTTTGGCACTGCCATTGATAAGCCTTGAGGAAACTGATCCTGAACTGACAGCTGGATTTGTAGAGGGCGACATGATTTTAGATACTGTTAGCCGTAATGGTTTGCGTGCTGAAGTTTACAGATGGCCCAACAATACGGTCTACTATAAATTCTTTACAGAGTTTGGTAAGTGTGGAGAAAATGTTTTACTGTGGACTTGGTTATGAACTTTTTAATTATCCTTTTAGACCAGGAACATCGTGACCATATTTTACGTGGCATGAAAATGATTGAGGATGTTTCCTGTATTCGCTTCGAAGAGGCAACCAAAAATACCAAACGATTCGTAAATATTACTGGTAATGCAGGTGGTTGCTCTTCTACTGTCGGATACCGCAGTAAGGGATCCCAGTCATACAATTTGCAGCTGTATCCCTTGGATAAGGGCTGTTTCCGTTTGGGTACAATTATCCATGAATTTTTGCATGTCCTTGGTTTTTATCATATGCAAAGCACTGCGAATCGTGACGAGTATGTATTCATCAATGAAACGAATGTCAAGGATGGCAAACTTCACAATTTCAAAAAATATGACGCCGAAACTGTCGATGATTTCGATCAGGGATATGACTATGCCAGTGTTTTGCATTATTCCGCATTTGCCTTCTCGGCTAATGGTGAAATGACCATTGTACCATTGAAAGATGCAGACGCTGCTGCTGTTATGGGCCAGCGTGTTGGTATGAGCCAGAGTGACATTAATCGTTTGAATTTAATGTATCGTTGTCCGGTTAAAGTTTAAAACTGTTATGATGTTACTCTAATCTGTTAATAAATGTGTAAACATGTTCGTGTACTGAAAAGGCAATTTTTTTAATTCGGATTCCAAAATATAGAGACCAGCTATGTGACTAGCATTGTTTGGATTTTTTGTTGGTAAAATTTGATATATCGATATGTTGTTTGTTTGTATGGTGCCAAGGGTTCAGCAGACCTCTCATTGCAAGCACAATTTGTTGGTGGTATTTCACTAATCTCGAACAAATTGAGCAATAATTTTTCGCATATTATTCGAAACGGTTATTTAGCCTATATACCGATTAGATAGTAAATAAATTAATTAGCACTTTAAAATTAGCAGCGGCAGCGAACAACGGACATTGTTATTTATGTTACCAAAATGGGCAGTGTCAAATTTGCCTATTCCAAAGAAATGTCGAGCGTGCGAGCATTAAAGCAGTTGAGATTAAACGAGATGTTGATTATACGTCAATGGCTATCAAAATTAACGGAATTTCGATAAGCAGAAACAAGAAGTTGCGATGGACATACTGTAACTGAGTTTTAGTTGGATTTTTTACGTTGAGAAGAACTACTGGTGCGGAAATGCATGTTTTAGGAATTTTGGTAATTTGCACTGCCCTATTGGGCTTTGTTTTCACCCTACCCATGGTAACACGCGTGGAAACTGATCCGGAATTAACTGCAGGATTTGTAGAGGGTGACATGATATTGGATATCAATTTACGTAATGGTTTGCGTGATAAGGTCTACAAATGGCCCAACAATACAGTCTACTATAAATTCCAGACAAAATTTGGTGAATATTAACCTTAAAGAGCATGGAAGAATTTATGAATTTAATTTGTTCTTTCCATCCATAGATGAAGCCCACCATAATCACATTTTGCGTGGCATGAAAATCATTGAAGATGTTTCCTGCATACGTTTCGAAGAGGCCACCGAAAACACCCCTCACTACGTAAATATCACCGGCAATCCAGGCGGTTGCTCTTCCACAGTCGGTTACCGCAGCAATAGATCTCAGAATTATAATTTACAATTGTATCCCTTGGATGAGGGCTGTTTCCGCTTGGGTACAATTGTCCATGAATTTTTGCATACCCTTGGTTTCTATCACATGCAGAGCAGTGCCAATCGTGACGACTATGTCTTCATCAATGAGACGAACATTCAAGATGGTAAACTTCACAATTTCAACAAATATGATACGGAGACTGTCGATGATTTCGATCAGGGATATGATTATGGCAGCGTTTTGCATTATTCCGCCTTTGCATTCTCGGCCAATGGTGAAATGACCATTGTACCATTGAAGGAAGCTGAAGCTGCTGGTATTATGGGCCAACGTCGTGGCATGAGCAAGAGTGATATTGATCGTTTGAATTTAATGTATCGTTGTCCGGTTAAAGTTTAAAACAATTGTTATGATCGTGCTCTAATTTGTTAATAAATGTGTAACCATTGTGTGTATTGAAAAAATTAAAGATTTTGTTGAATTTAGTATGCAAAATATGAAGACAGTTTTGGGTTTGTGCAAATGTTTGTTTAATTTATTTTTCTTCGATGCGGTCTAATAAATCTTCTTTTCACCTCTAAACATCTATTATAAATATGTTCATAATCTCAACTAAATACATGAACAGTTTTCACCTCTTGTACAAAACTATTATTTTGATTTTCGATTATATGGAAGATAAATTTATTAACACTTTAACATCGAAGTAGCAGCGAACTACAAATATTATTATTTATGTTATCAACATTGGCAATGGCATTTTCCACAGAAGTGACGAGCCCCTGAGCATTAGCGCAGTCGAGATTAAACGAGATCGTGATTAGACGTCAATGGCTCTCAAAATGGGCCGAATTTCGATAAGCCGGAACAAGAAATTGTGGTGGACACTGAATAGTGAATTATAGTTGGATTCACTTCTAGTGCGGACATGAATGTCTTAGGAAGTTTAGTAATTTGTACTGCCCTTTTGGGCTTTGTTCTCGCCCTACCCATGGTGACACGCGAGGAAACCGATCCTGAATTGACAGCTGGATATGTAGAGGGTGATATGATTTTGAATACCAATCCCCGTAATGGTCTGCGTGATAAGGTTTACAAATGGCCCAACAACACAATCTACTATAAATTTCTCACCAAATTCGGTAATTACTCAGTTAACAGCATTGATTCATGCAATAAAATATTAACCTGATTTTCCCTCTTTAGATGAAGAACACACCAATCATATTTTGCGTGGCATGAAAATCATTGAAGACGTTTCCTGCATACGTTTCAAAGAGGCAACCGAAAACACCCCTCACTACGTAAATATCACTGGCAATCCAGGTGGTTGTTCATCCACAGTTGGTTACCGTAGCGATGAATATCAGAAATATAATCTACAATTGTATCCTTTGGATGAGGGCTGTTTCCGTTTGGGTACAATTGTCCATGAATTTTTGCATACCCTTGGTTTCTATCACATGCAGAGCAGTGCCAATCGTGACGACTATGTCTTTATCAATGAGACGAACATTAGAGAAGATAAAATTTACAATTTCAATAAATAGGATGCCGAAACAGTCGATGATTTCGATCAGGGATACGATTATGGTAGTATTTTGCATTATTCCGCCTATTCCTTCTCGGCCAATGGTGAAATGACCATAGTACCATTGCAAGAAGGTGCTGAAGCCTTAATGGGCCAACGTCGTGCCATGAGCCAGAGTGACATTAACCGCCTGAATTTAATGTATCGTTGTCCGGTTAAAGTGTGAACACAAAATGTGTTGATTTGTTAATAAATTGGAAGACATGATGAAGATACATTAAATGTGGATTACTATTCCCATGGAGTTTTGCGAAATATTAGCTACTGAAATTTAAAAGATTAGGCATATATAGTTTACGTGTGTACAATGGATTATAATCAGTTCTGATTGTCATAACTACTAAACATATGGAAAATTCTACAATTTGAGAAACCAAATAAGATTGATAATCGGAAAATGTTTTGCTAATGCTCCCATAGCAAAATAAAACGGAAAGAAAAAACGGTTTCCAGCCTTTTTTATTTTTAGAACGTCATTTTTAAATGAAAAGAAACGTTTATCAGCCATATTGGCTGTACTTCAATATTTTTGATAGTCACTGCCTGTCAAATCTTCCCGCCAGAAATTATTAATCTTGGATAAGTTTTAAGAATAGTCCCCATTTAAGGGTACAAAGAGTACATGTCTGGCTCTCGTATGAACTAGGACATTGACCTCGCTCAAAAATTAACAAAAAGGCGGACCGTTGAAAAAATATTTTTGGAAAATCGCCTATTTTTGATCACAAACTATGTTAAGAAATAAGGAAGATCTTCACCGACTGGTCTTATCTTAGTTCATACGATAGTTACACACTCACAGAAAAACTTCCCAACATTTGGAATCGATTGGGTTATTAGTTTTTGGGTTATCGTGCCCGTCATTCGCAAAAACAATTTTGTAGGGACATTCTAGAATTAGAGTAGATTCGAATTAAATCAGAAAAATTTTTGACAGGGAGAATGTTATGACTTCATATAGGAGGTTATGGAGATGATGGTCCTTCATAGCGATAATTTGGATCAAATCGGATATTCCTTTCAAAGGATTATTACCAAACATAAATACATATTGAATAGGTTCTGGGACGGGATCGTTGGATTACTAAACAAATGAATGCTAAATTTTAATTATTTCAATTGCAATATATGATTGGACTTTTTAAATTCGAAAAGTAGACCTACTTCAAAAAATTAAATCAATTTGTATCATTTTGTTTCTATCCTAAAAATATGCAATGAAATAAAACTCTATAAAACTGAGCAAATACTTTCGCATTGCCACACATTGAATGTTTGATATGGATCTTAGACAATTTCGTTGACCATCGAATTTTAAATCAACATATCAAGAGTTGACCACAAAGTGTGAAATAAGAGGCCGTCTAAAGTGATCACCATAAGCGACCTCACATAAATTACGAACGATTTCTATTAAAGGCAGCCGTTTTTAGGGACTTTTGAATACTGTCGTTATAACTGATATGTCGTTGTTGTAATTAACGATTTATATTTACACTGCCTTTTAAAATAAAAATTCCAAATCCTCTGACATATAAGAACATTTTTTTAATATTTTTTTGTTTTTTTTAAATAGCTAAAGCCAGCAAGCAAATCAATATGGCCGGATGACCGTACCACACAACTACTACTGGACCTCTATAGAAAAAATCCCGAGTCTGGCTATTCGTGACTATTCCTCACAGAGTGATAATGACAATATTAACCAAAAATAGCATATTTTTTCATACACTGACACCTGACTCTGTCTTCCAGAACTAAATATATAAGTCATACAATATAAAGTTTTAATTCTTGATCCTCACAACGTAGTTCCATAGGGTATACATATTTATGTTTCAAAATTAAGTAACAGCATGTCTACTGTTTTCTGGGTTAAACAAACTCTTGTAATTTGAAGTACAGCGGCAATCTATACAAAAATGCACATTATAAAATTGAGTGAGTATTTACTCATGGCAAGGTCCGGCACACCACTCCACTCTGATCTCAAAATGTCTTCGAAACCAATCGCCGACAATAGTAATTTCATTGTAAGTACTTCATCAAGGTCATCTAAATTGAGTAGCAGATTCTCCCTCAACAATCTAATACTACTAGTTGCGATTAACTGCCGATTAGATAAGGGACAAATTAATTAACACTTTAAAGCAGAAGTAGCACCACAAACAGAACGACGAACATAAATATTTAAGTTATCTGGCGGACAGAGGGAAAATTGGCGATTGTAGGAATTCCGATCGTAAATAAATAACGAATCCACAGAAACTGGTTGTGATTAAAAAAGCAGGCAGATTGGTAGGATCATAAATAATAGCTATCAAATTGAACGTAATACCGATAAGATATTCAACGAAATAAAATTGTGGTAAAACCTATCGGAATTAATAAGGACAATCAGCTTGTGGAGTTTAGTTGGCCTTCCATAGCTGTGGATAACTCTTGGCTCGGACATGAATGTCTTAGGAAGTTTGGTAATTTGTACTGCCCTTTTGGGCTTTGTTTTCGCCCTACCCATGGTGACTCGAGTGGAAACAGATCCTGAATTGACTGCCGGTTTTGTAGAGGGTGATATGGTTTTGGATATCAATGCCCGCAATGGTTTGCGTAATGAGGTGTACAAATGGCCCAACAACATTGTCTACTATAAATTCCATACTGAATTTGGTAATTATGGGGATTTAAATTATGCTATGAGATGTGTATAAACTCTGTTTTCTTTCCCCGGACTAGATGATGCCCATCATAATCATATTTTACGTGGCATGAAAATCATTGAGAGCCTGTCCTGTATTCGTTTTGAAGAGGCAACTGAGAGTACGGTTAACTTCGTAAATATCACCGGTATGCCAGGTGGTTGCTACTCCAGCGTTGGTTACCTCCGTGTTGGAGCTCAGACATACAATTTGCAAATCTATCCTTTGGATGAGGGTTGTTTCCGTTTGGGTACAATTGTCCATGAATTTTTGCATACCCTCGGCTTTTATCACATGCAAAGTAGTGCCGAACGGGATGAATATGTTTTCATCAATGAGACCAATATCCAAGAAGGTACCATTCACAATTTTAATAAATATGACACCACTGTTGTCGATAATTTCGATGAGGAATATGATTATGGCAGTGTATTGCATTATCCCGCCTATGCTTTCTCGGCCAATGGTGAAATGACAATTGTACCATTGAAGGAGGAAGAGGCAGCTGGTATTATGGGTCAGCGACGTGGCATGAGCAAGAGTGACATTAATCGCTTGAATTTGATGTATCGTTGTCCGGTGAAGGTGTAAATTATATTAATTTGTTAATAAATTGGAAGAAAACTCTAAATGCAGCAAAAATGTTTTTTTTTAAGTGACCATTTGCATAGTAACGCTAATTCAAAAAAATGAAAGCACTATTTTAGTAGCTCTTTGACAAATACTTGAATAAGAAAAAATACTTCGAGGTCCTTCGAGGTTCACAATTGTGTTAGGTGAGTGTCCGTGAAAAAAAATAGCTTTGATTTAATAGACACTTCATGCTTTTGATTACTCTTCAACCCCTAACTCAATATGCCATATTGCCACTGAATATTCCCTCATTTTAAAAAAGCAAAAGTAATAAAAATTTGATATGGGCGTCCCTTCAAAATAGAAAATCTAAAATTAGTTGTGCTTTCTATATTTACCGTGATGAAATCACTTTATAAAGTGACCTAATAAATAATGCTATGTTTCTTTTGCATGGTCTCCTTGAAATCTAAATTTATACCTCCATATTAATTTTGATGATCAATCGATTTATATTGCCTCAAATATGTAATTTCCTACCACATACGATACATACAGAGCAACTTTAAACGTCATATTAAATGGGTAGCAGATTTACGTTTAACGATCTAACACAACTATTTGCGATTAATTTCGTTTGGATAGATGACACTTTAAACCAGAACTGGCGCAACAAACAAGACTACGAACATATCTAGTCCAGATGGGAATTTTGCTAGTTTTGGAGTTAATTGTATGTCGATTACAAATAAATATCAAAATTTGCAGAAGTAGATAAGAATCTAGAAGATTGGTAGAATAATAAATACTGGCTATCAAATTAAACATAATAACGATAAGATATACAATTGAAAAAAATAAACTTGTAGTAAAATCGACTGAAATTTAAATAGAATAGTAGTTTGTTGAATTTTGTGGAGGACAGATATTCAATCGTTCGGACATGCACGTCTTAGGAAATTTGATAATTGCAACAGCCCTTTTGGGCTTTGTATTCGCCCTACCCATGGTAACACGTGTGGAAACCGATCCTGAATTGACTGCCGGTTTTGTAGAGGGTGATATGGTCTTAGATACCAATACCCGCAATGGTTTGCGTAATGAGGTTTACCGATGGCCCAACAACGTTGTCTACTATAAATTCCACACTGAATTTGGTAATTATGAACATTGGAATGATTTTATGGAGGTGGTTTAAATTTTATTTTTTTTTCACGGACTAGATGATGCCCATCATAATCACATTTTACGCGGCATGAAAATCATTGAAAGCCTGTCCTGCATTCGTTTTGAAGAGGCAACCGAGAATACGGTTAATTTCGTAAATATCACCGGTATGCCAGGTGGTTGCTATTCAAGTGTTGGTTACCTCGGGATTGGAGCTCAGACATACAATTTGCAAATCTATCCCTTGGATGAGGGCTGCTTCCGTTTGGGAACAATTGTCCATGAATTTTTGCATACCCTCGGCTTTTATCACATGCAAAGTAGTGCCGAACGTGATGAGTATGTTTTCATCAATGAGACAAACATTCAACCGGGCACTATTCACAATTTTAACAAATATGACACCACCGTTGTCGATAACTTCGATGAGGAATATGATTATGGCAGTGTGTTGCATTATTCTGCCTATGCCTTCTCGGCGAATGGTGAAATAACCATTGTACCCTTGAAAGCAGAAGAAGCTGCTGGTATTATGGGCCAACGTCGCGGCATGAGCAAGAGTGACATTAATCGTCTGAACATGATGTATCGTTGTCCGGTTAAGGTGTAAAGTGTTTATTGAATTATATTAATTTGATAATAAAAGTGCAAAACATTTAAATCTTTGGAACTATTTCATAAAACCTGTGGTCCTTTAACATATAGTGCGTTATAATGTGTATAGTTGCTGATCTTATTGTTATAAATTGCTGTACGATGTAATTCACATTCCTAATCTATATATATATATATAGAAGAGCTTAGTGTTAAGTGAGTGAGTGACTGACTGACAGATCATCGCCCAGACGAAACGGCTGAAGCTAGAAGCTTGAAATTTTCAGTGTGGGTTGTTGTTAGTGTGTAGGCGAGAGATAAGGCTGGGTTTTTGGAAATTCGAAGGGTACGAAATGTACTAAAATGTACCAAATATGGTACCCTCTGTATTAGGCGAACGGGAAGAGCTAGAATTCTGAAATTTGGAATGTGGGTCACTGATTGAAAGTTAGAAAGCTGTACAAAAAGGTTTTTGGAAATTCGACCAATAAGTGTACTAAAAGTACTAAAAATTACGAACTTTTGTTCTAAATTTATATATATTGAACATATTGAACATATATAGCTAGAATTTTGAAATTTTATATGGACATACAGGCTTTAAGAAATTCGTACTTATGTGTATAAAAAGTACAAAATGGTACTAAATTTGTTACTATTTGCATTTAGTTGAGTGTATACAGATAGAATCTGGAAAATCGGAATCAGGACAACTATTAGAGCACAAGATTGAAGTAGCTTTAAAAAATCGTACTTATGTGTACGAAAAGTACTAAATAGTACTAAATTTGGTGCATGTTGGATTTAGGTGAACAGATAGAGCTGGAGTCTTCAAATTGTGAAAAAAATGACTGTTGAATGTAGGATTGAGGTAGTCACTTATTGGTACGAAAAGTACTATATGGTACCAAATTTAGTACAATTTGGATTTTGCTTGAAAGGATAGAGCTGAAATCCTGAAATTTGAAATTAAGATTACTGTTGAAGATTGAGCTATAGAGACATCTTTGCAAATTCGTATTTATGTGTACGAAAAGTACTAAACGGCACTAAATTTGGTACAATCAGGATTTTGGGTGAACGGAGAGAGCTGGAAACCTAAAATTTGGAATAATGGTTGCTGTTGGAATATAGAATTGAGATATGGAAGTGCTTATGTGTACTAAATGGTACTATATTTGGTACAACTTGATTATTTGAGAACGGATAGAGCTGGACTCCAGAATTTTGGAATTCAAATTCCTGTTGGAGTGTAGGATTGAGGTAGTTTAGGAAATTCTTATGGTACCAAATAGTTTGCAAATTGTTTTTGCGTGAACGGATCGGGCTGAGATTCTGAAATTTTGAATTAGTATTACAGTTAGAGTGTAGGATTGAGACAAGTCAGTAGTTTGGAAAATTTGTCATTATGTGTACTAAATGGTACAAAATTTGGTACAATTTGGATTACAATTAACGGATAGAGATGGAAGGCAAATTACAGAATTAAGGTAGTTTTGGAATATCGTACTTATGGACAATTAATGGTACTAAATATGGTACAATTCGTTGTCTGTGAGCGGGAATCCTAAAATTTGAAATTAAAATTAAGGTTGGAGTGTAGGAAGGGACATGGAGGTAGTTTTAAAAATGCGTAACTATGCGTACTAAATGGTACTAAGTTTAGTACAATTTAGATTTGAGGGAAAGGATAGAGAACAATAAAATTACTGTTATGGGACAGGATTGACACATTGTTGGAAATTGGAACTCATAAGTACGAAAAAGTACTAAATGGTACTAAATATGGTAAAATTGAGATCTATGCGAACGGGTAGGGCTGGTATCCTAGAAATTATGATTAAAATTACTGTTGCAGTGTGGAATTGAGGCAGTTTTAGAAACTCGTACTTACGTCTACGAAAAGTAGTAAATGGTACTAAATTTGGAGAACTTGGATTTTGGTGAAGGGATAGAGTTTGAATCTTTAAATGCAGATTTAAGGTTATTATTGGAGTGCATGACTGATGTAGTTTTGGAAATTCGTACTTTGGGTACGAAAAGCACAAAATTTGGTACAATTTGGACTTTGGAGAACGGGTAGAACTCGAATCCTGAAAGTTACAACTTAGGTTACTGTGGGAGTGTAGGAAAAGTACAGAATGGTACCAAATCTGATACAATTTAGTGAACATATAGAGCTGGAATTCTTACATTTGGACTTAAGATTACTATTTGAAAGCAGGTTTGAAATATTGAGATAGGTTTGGAATATGGATACGAAAAGTAGAGAATGGTATCAAATATAGTATAATTTGGTCTTTAATGAACAGACAAAGCTGAAATTCTTAAATTTGCAATTACGATTACTATTTAAAAGCAGAATTGATTTACATTTGGCAATTTGTACTTATGAGTACCAAAATAACTAAATTTGGTACAATTTGGACTTTGATGGAATAAAGATTACTGTTAGAGTGTAGGATTGATGCCACTTTAGAAATTCTTACTTATGGGTATAAAAACTACTAAATGGTACTAAATTTGAAACGATTTGTATGATTCCTGATTTTTAGAATTCAGATTACTGTTGAAGTGTAGTATTGAGCTATGGATACAACTTTGGAAACTCGAATTTATGAGTACGAATAGTAAATAGAAAATTCACTAAATTTGGAACAATTTGGGTTTGGGTAACGGAGAGAGCTAGAAACCTACAATTTGGAATGTCAGTGACAGAGAGTTAGAAAGAAGGACCAAAGGGTTTTAAGTACTATGTGGTGTCTTGAAAATGTGTACTTATGTGTGCGAAAAGTTCTAAATGGAACTGAATGTGGAACCTGTACGTTTCTGCTAAAGTATTTAATTGGAATTCTGATCTATGTTTAATCTATGTAATGGAAATAAGAAAGAGATTTCGGAAAAAAGTGCTGATGTGTATGAAGAGTACTTAATTGTAATAAACTTGATATTAGATTTAGGAAAAGGGGTGGAATTCAGAACTATAGTACAACAAATTATACAGTATTCACGATTTCCATATGTTTTTTTGTATTCCCTTTCCACATACGAAGTAGCGGGCACTTTGCTAGTAATATATAAAGCACTAACAGAAAATTACCTCACATCTATAATTAAGATATTATTTGTCAATTTTTAAGGTCACATAAATTGAGTCCTAGATTTCGCCTTAATCATCCAAAACATCTATTTGAAATTTATTTCGAGTAGATAGAAAACAAATTTATCAATTGGGGTTTACCCAGTGTCGGAGTTCTCTGCAATAACCTTGGAATTTAGGATAGAAAAAGATCCTATGTACAATGTTGATGATCTAATTTAAGGGGACCACCCAATTCACGATTTTTTTATTTTTAAGATTTTAAATGGGCTGGTAAATGAATACCAATGCTTGTTAATGTTTGTAACTTTGCACATATATATTTGAAGATTTAAAAACGAAGGAAATAATTTACAAAAATTTTTTGTTGTTGTTTTTTGTGAAAGTCCTTTTTTTATGGCGAGCATGATAACTCCTTACGGGAACATCGGAATCCGAAAATTCAAACGGTTTTAGAAAGAGTACATGGCTGGCTCTCGTATGAACTAAGATTATTAACTTCGCACAACAATTAACAAAATGGCGGAACTTTTTTTGGAAAATAGCCTAACAAACTAGGTTAAAAAATAAGGAAGATCTTCACCGATTGACTTTATCCTAGTTCATACGAGAGCTATACACTCCCAGAGAAACGTGTCAAAATTTGGGACTGATTGAATTATTAGTTTTTGAGTTATCGTGCCCGCCATTCGCTTCTGGGAAAATGCGTTTAAAGTTTGAGAATCACTCTTGCCGTCCCTTGATGCTGACAAAATAAATCGGCTATATCTTCAAGAGTTCTTGAGATTTTCACTTAAAATTGTGTAGGGACATTCTAGAATTAGAGTAGATTCGAACAATAAACCATTACCTATCAAATTGAAAGTAATTCCGATAAGATACACAATGGGAAAATAACGGTAGTAAAAACTATTCAAAAACTATTAGTTCGTAAAATTTAGTGGTGGACAGATCTTGGAAAGGACATGCACGTCTTAGGAAGTTTGATCATTGTAACGGCCCTCTTGGGTTTTGTTTTTGCCCTACCCATGGTGACACGCGTGGAAACAGATCCTGAATTAACTGCTGGTTTCATAGAGGGTGATATGGTTTTGGATAGCACCACCCGTAATGATTTGCGCGATGAGGTTTACAGATGGCCCAACAACACGGTCTACTACAGATTCCTCACCGAATTTGGTAATTGGGGAATTCACATTGAATCTATAAACAATATCTTAACACTTACTTATTTTCCGTTTCTCATATGACGACCACCACAATCACATTTTACACGGCATGAAAATCATTGAAAGTGTATCCTGCATTCGTTTCGAAGAGGCACATGAAAACATAACTAATTACGTCTTTATCACTGGTTTACCAGCTGGTTGTTTCTCTAGTGTGGGTTACCTAGGTGCTGGAGCTCAGACATATAATTTGGAAATATATCCCTTGGATCAGGGCTGCTTCCGTTTGGGTACAATTGTCCATGAATTTTTGCATACCCTTGGTTTCTATCACATGCAAAGTAGTGCTAACCGTGACGAATATGTTTTCATCAACAAGACCAACATTGCAGAGGGAACCCTTAACAATTTCAACAAATACAACACAACCGTTGTCGACGATTTCGATGAGGAATATGATTATGGCAGTGTTTTACATTATTCCGCCTATGCCTTCTCGGCCAATGGTGAAATGACCATTGTACCATTAAAGGAGGATGAGGCTGCTGGTATTATGGGTCAGCGACGTGGCATGAGCAAGAGTGACATTAATCGTTTGAATTTGATGTATCGTTGTCCGGTTAAGGCTTAATGTTTGATCGAATAACATTAATTTGTTTTTGTTATTTGAATTTTTGTGATCATTTTGAAAGTGATTTTAAGTGATTATTTATACTCTTTCGAGTCGAGCTTGATGATCTAAATTTTGCAATGAAACGGAAAGCCAGGAGAAGAACCTACGTACCCACCATTATGCGACGCGTTTCGCCGTTGGTTAAGCGGCTCATCAGGCATATTGGGCTATGTGGCTTTACAAAGGTCGTACGTTGATAACTTGTATTTATTCCGCCCTGATGCGAAACTTGCATATGCGAATGAAATTCAAATTTGTCAAAGTTCGACATTTGTCTTCATTCTAGGAACAGTCCTTTTCAAAGCAGATTTTTGTTGTAGCGATGGATAATTAATCCATACACCTACAATTGCTTCCTTGGTATACACATGTTTTTGCGCAACCGTTTTGGAAGTGTGTTGATGGCTCAGAACGTTGAGTGGTCTTGGCAACATTTGTGTTGCTCCGAGGACGTAGGTTCTTCTCCTGGCTTTCCTTTTCATTGCAAAATTTAGATCATCAAGCTCGACTCGAAAGAGTATAAATAATCACTTAAAATCACTTTCAAAATGATCACAAAAATTCAAATAACAAAAATTAATTTCAGCCGAGCACGGCTAGGGCTCGAACCTAGGTCCTCGGAGCAACACAAATGTTGCCAAGACCACTCAACGTTCTGAGCCATCAACACACTTCCAAAACGGTTGCGCAAAAACATGTGTATACCATGGAAGCAATTGTAGGTGTGTGGATTAATTATCCATCGCTACAACAAAAATCTGCGTTGAAAAGGACTGTTCCTAGAATGAAGACAAATGTCGAACTTTAACAAATTTGAATTTAATTCGCATGTGCAAGTTTCGCATCAAAGCGGAATAAATACAAGTTATCAACGTACGACCTTTGTAAAGCCACATAGCCCAATATGCCTGATGAGCCGCTTAACCAACGGCGAAACGCGTCGCATAATGGTGGGTACGTAGGTTCTTCTCCTGGCTTTCCTTTTCATTGCAAAATTTAGATCATCAAGCTCGACTCGAAAGAGTATAAATAATCACTTAAAATTAATTTGTTAATAAAAGTGATGTACCTAAATTACTGAAACTGATTTTCTTATTAAAAGTAAATTAAACATGTGAGCGGAGCAGAATAGTCGGACGGGGCCGACCATATGATACCCTACACAACTACCACTGAAGTCTTACTTTCTGCGTGTCTATATTCAGACATCATATGTTCCCGAAGTGAACATTTAAATATTCTTATTTTACACACAAAAGGTTGGTTCATTGAACCGCTAAATATTAACCGATCATTATAATAAAGTAATTCTCAATAGTGGACCAGATCCTCTTCACCGTATAAAATTCCATACCATGTATATCACCTGATCACTGCCGAAAACAATAGGTGTCATTCTTGACCCCAATTGAAACATTCTGAAAAAATCCATAGCGGTCAGCGCCATTTTCCGCCACATTTTTTCTAAATAGTATACGAATACATAAACACCTGTAAATATTTAAATATAACACCCACATCCGAGTAGATATATCACTATAATTCGTATCAATTTATAAGTCTCTAATATACTATCAACTTCTCGGGACAATGTTAATCAGTAGTAATTATATACGCCCCAGAATAAAAATTTTGTAATTTTTATACAAGAGGCTGTCTCCATTTGAACCGTTAAATATTGACCGATGATCATGAAGAGAACTTTAATTATTTTTTGGTCAGATCTCTTTTCCCAAGTAAAATTTCGTAATATGCGGGTCATAATTGTGGCCCCTTGAGTCAACAGAAAAACCGACAAAAATAAAGTTTTTGTTCCAATTTCATCCTCTAAATATTAACGGATCATTTCCAAAAACAATAGGTGTCTTTCATTCCAGAACCCGTCCTACATGCAAAATTTCGTCACGATTTGTCCATAACTGTGGCCTGTATCGTCTTTACAAATTATAATTGATAGACGGACGAACACACATGTCTAGATCGACACAGCTAGTCGAGATATGCCGATCGGTATACTAATAGGTGGGTCAAGAACCAATATTTCGCGCTGTTAGGAACTCTTGGGACCATATAAAACTATAACACCCTGACAACATAGTTGTGTGGGGTATAAAAATTATGATATCCTTCCGTACTACGATATTGGTAAGCCATTGTCATTTGTAATATGATGAGATTATTGACAATATTAGGGGCACCTATAACGATAACTTGTTGGAATCTTATAAACCATTAGACTGATGGCAAGCAGATCTTCCGGAACTCTGTTCTTATAAAACATCCTAATGAAAAATCGAACATTATATCCCTTCAGCGATACAACTAATTGTTGTGAATGATTGTCTATTTAGCTGTTATCAATGGGAATACCCATGCCACACTCCTTTTTTGGACAGATATTTCTGTTCCAGACACATCCACAGGGAAAAAAGCTTCATATTTCTGTTTGCATCTCCTAATTTTCGGACTGTCTGGATTTAAAATAATTAAGTTATCTTCCATGAAAGTACGTCAATATGGTTTTCGTTATGAACTGATGCCACTGTTCTCCGAATGTAAAAAGTATTCAAGTACTTCGTCTATGGCGGATTTACCCTTCCAGAAAGTTTTCACACAACCCAAAAAATTGACTAAATTAAATACATCATTGTGACCCAAATATCGAAATCCTTTAAATTTAATCATACCTTACCGCAACAACACCTTCCTTCACAGCTAGGACAAATTTGCACAATATTGAAAATAAAAACATACGAACTATTGACAAATTACCAATTAAGTGTTAAAAAATGATTTTTAATGAGTCGACAACATAATAATGGACAAGCAAATAATGGAACTCCAGCAGGCATGACTTATACAAAACCAAATACCACACACACGCACGCATACACATATTACACATTGGCTATTGTGAAGAGCACTGATGTATAAAGTAGCTTGACTACATGCCAAGACCAAGAATACTAACGAATATGAACTCGACCGAACGACCAAGCATCCAATCCACACATTGACCAATATTGTATTTATATACAACAACGTCCTTTTTGCACTACGTATGTATTTGTCAGCAATGTGTTTGTGTTTGCTGACTCACACACGTTGATATAAAAGCATGTGTTTGTGTCGGTGTGCAAAGTTTCAAGAAGAAGAATTCAGGGTGTTCGGTATTTACACTTGAAAGAAATCTTAATTCCTCAATTGAATTATGTAGGTTCAAGAGAATAGTGTGTGTGTGACCATAACTTTATTAAACCATTATTGCACAAAATCCGATATATCAAAATCCCAGATTTCAACTTCAATTTTTATAAAAATTAATTTTTGCTAGAGTCGTAGTTCTCTGCAATATCTTTGGAATTTAGTACAAACATAAGTTTCCATCTGCTATTTTAATGATCTGATTTAAAGACTGTAGACCACTACTCATCTACTTTGAAATGTTGTGTTCTCAACGATTACTTTTCAACACCAGTTGGTATTTGTGTTCCTGCTTCTTGAAACGGAGATTAGTGAAACAATTAACATTTTTCGTTGAGTGTACATCCATGTGCTGCTGTATGTATGTAGGTTAAATCGAATGAAATTAAAAGCCAATAATTGGAAAATTAATTGAATTAAATTGACAGTAAGGCGATATCAACAATATACTCTTTATAAGTATGCGGTACAAAAGTGTGTGCGTGTGTCTGTGTGTATATTATGCTCACGCATAAGTGAATATATATTGAGAGTGCCTTATTATTTGCACAGTGTGCGTAAATGAATTTCTGTCATCGTTGTTGTTGTTTTTTAAACAATATTTAATATTTTAAAATCTCTTTTTTTCTCGCACACCGTGGGTAAATAAAAATATTTAAAAGAAAGTGTGAACAAAATATTTTACTCTTTTGTAGGAAAAAATAGGAAAATATAAAAGCGAAAGCGAATAAATACCAAAATAAAAAACAAAAAGGTAAACAAAAAAAAAAAAATAAATAATTATTTGCCCTAAAAAGGCATAAAAACAAAACTCAAAAAATTCAGCTTGAGCCCGGCTGGAATTTGAACCCTGGTTCCCATGGCATCTGTTGATGTCCTGTGCTATAGCGTTCAAAACCACCTCCTTATATTCCTTAGATTGCACAATATGAATATCATTGAAGAAAAATATTGTAGTCTGTATGGAATCCGTCACTACAAAAAAATCTGCTCTGAAAAGGAATGTTCTGGTGTGAACATTCACACGGTTGAATTTAATTCGTAGATACAATTTCGAAACAATAGTCGACATAAATACAACTTATCAAGTAAAGACATTTGTAAGCCACATTGCCTAATATGCCTGTTGAGCCGCTTAACCAACGGCGAAACGCGTCGCATAGTGGTGGGAATGTAGTATCTCTCTGGCTTTCCTTTTCATTGCAACTACGATCATGTAGCTCATCGCGAAAGAGAAATTAATAGAAAAAAACTCAAATTGGATTGCTGTTGATCTTATAAGTATTGGATTATATTTAAAACACATAATATTAATAACAATGAAACTCAATATCGATTTAGGCAAGTCCGTCCATATATTGCAATCGCGGTAGAGATCGCAATATTTAAGATATTGACATTTCGGGGTCTGAGAGGATAGAATACTACGGGGAGGACGTTTTCAATAAAGAACCATGTCGTAACATAACCCCATATATTGAAGATCATAGGAGAATTTCGCAACATAAGTGCCTAAAATTTTCTATTTAGTTTTCTCAAGGATCATTTACATTTACGTTCTACATAGATCCCATATAAGGGTCTAACTTAATTTAGGTATTCTGAAACCTCGCCTCAGGGTGTAATGAAATCTGGTTGCTTCTCCAGTGTTGGCTATCTAGGCGCTGGAGCTCAGACATATAATTTGGAGATATATCTCTTAGATCAGGCCTATTTCCGATTGTGTACAATTGTCCATTAAGGGTATGAAAAAA